TGGATTGTGTGATCATTGAAATATTCGATGTTTACAGCAGAATATTCAAAGGGATTGCAAGGCCGGTTCTCGTGGGGATAAATTGAGCTGGGTAACTTGAAGCAACCATGCATGGCATTTAATATTCTTCAAGAGGCAAAAGGTCAAGGCGAGGAACTTGCTAAATATTTGGAATTTTGCAGGGATTTCGTGTGTAACGCATCTCGAGCGCATAATCAATGTAGTTCCTCCAGCCAAAGTTACAAAAATGTTGCATCGCACGAGGATGCTAATAAAGCAATAGTGGTGAGAGAAGATGTTGCCATTGTTCAAGAGAAAGAAGTAGTAAACAGTAGATTGAAGACATTAATAATCTCTCATTTTAGAGCAAGCAACCCTTCTTCCGCAGAGAATCGTCCAAATGATCTACCCCACTATCAAAAACAAGATATACCAGATTGTATTAGTTTCTATTAATTGTATTAGGGATTCGCAATATTCACTTCAGCGAGCTTCATCAATTAATTATGGAGTCGATTTTTGTTAAAAACCAATAATAACTTCGATTATTTTTTTTATGAAAAACAAATCATGAGAAGAGTTACTTTAAAAAAAAGCAATGGGAGGATGATAGTGGAAGTGGCAGTCTTGTAAAACGGACTTGATTAAAGATTGGAGAACAAGGCGGCTACAAGTAGAATTCAAAAGATGAGTTTGTTTTAGGCCGGTCCAGGCGATAATGACTCGTCGATACGAGTTCTTAGCTTGAAGTCCCGTCATTTTTATTTTATTTTTAAAGATGTGCGGCGCATTTATGTTAGATTAAGCTTTATTTATTTATATTTTATCTTTGATATATTAAATATTAACCCACACATTAGCAAGTACTAGCCTATCCATCATAGGGTTGAACACATGTTGGACTAGGAGGTTCTCACGGATCGAGTTTTATTTTGAATTAATTTAGAGGTTGATTTAGTTAGATTAAGCTAACTTGATTAATTAAATTAGGTAAATTTAATTAATTCAGGCAAATCAGAAGAGATTTAATTGGGTTAGCTTGACAATATTCTGATATTTTTAAAAAAATATATTATTTGATATTGACCAAGCAAATTCATTATCAGGTTAGGTTTAGTAATTATGTTATCTACATCAATATATATTTATCAATAAAAAAAATAAGATGGTGTTATTCCTTGAACATAAATTCTTAATCCAGTACTATTTTGAGTTTTATTGGTAGATTATATCACCCTTTATATCTAGCATAATACTAGTTTACAGTATCTTGCTTTCATGCGGCTTGACTAAAAAAAATTAAATATAAAAAAATATTTAGGTTATAAAAATTATTTGATATTATTATTAAATTTAGTTTTATTAATCAATTTTAAAATCTTTTGATATAACTCCTTATTTAATATAAGTTAAAAAATTAATCATGTGGAAGTTACTATAACTTAACCCAATAAATTTAAGAGGTTCAAAAATAATATAAATAAATAGTTAAAAATATAGATTGATTTTAAAATTAAAATTTATGAGTGATATTTTTTTAATATTAAAATATTGATATATTAGATTAATGTATTTAAGATAAATTAGTATAAGTTAGCGTAATGAAAATTTATAAAAACTTTTTGAGCCTACAGGTAAACAAGAGAAAAGCCTTCTAGACTTTAAAACTTGCCCCTACTTTTCTCTTACATTATGAGTCCTTGCCTGCTTAAAATAACTCAATAATATTATAAATAATATTATAAGACAAAACAATTTCATAGAAAGTTCATCTTTCTATATATATTATTTATTAATTTTCTTAAAATTGAAACATGCTATCAAACAATTAAAAAATTAAACATTTTGTCAATCAAAAATTTATTGATTTATTAAAAATAAATCACAATTAACCTACACAAATGAATTACTAACTTAATAACTTATCATTTCTTTAATTCCAAAATAACATTATCATTTCTTTAATTCCAAAATAACTCAATTCTTACCATTTTTTTTAAAAAAATTCTTAATCCAATAACTATTAAACACTTAATAAGTTAAAATATACTAAATCTCTAATTGTTATCAATTCCACACAAATTCTATTTTTCTCATATTAAAAAAACCACAAAATTGATAAAAATAATAATTAATACCCGACTAACTACCCATTATTTTTTCAATTCAAGAATAAATAGTATCAATTGACACCTTAATTGTTATTAGTTACACATTAGTTTAATTTTTTCTAAATTTTTAACAAAACCCATAATTTACTAAAATCAATTGAGACTGAACTAATTATATATAATTTCTTCAATTCAAGTTTATTCAACTTAAATTAACACTTTTAATTATTATTAATTCCAAAATAAATAAATTTTCCTAAATTTACAACTTAACCATAAAATTATCACAAGAAAAAATTGGTACCCATTATTTTTTCAATTTTCCAATACATCTAAATTACAAAATTACACTTAATTTCATCAAAAAATAAAGTAAGTTTATTTCTTTCAAATTCCAAACAAACCCTATTATACAAATTATACATCAATACAACATACATAATTATCATTATAAAACAAGCAAAACAAACACTTAAATATATAAGTAAAATATAAATATTACAAAAAAAAATTCGATGAATTCACTTAAAACATAAATGAGCAATTTTTGCTTACTCGGTGGGGTGCATCTTCTCATGAAATAGAATCAAGGAATCAAGGGATGAAAGTTGATGTCATTGGTGTGTAAGCGCCAGAGATTTCGGTGGTTGGATTTGTGAAGGGGGCTCCTAGAAATTTTTAGAGGGAGAGAGGGTTGTTGTAATTTTAATTGAAAGAAGAACAAGAAGAAACGAGGAGAAGAGAGGATTGTCAGGTTTTAATTTATTTTATAATAATCAACGAGTTGTTGATATGATTTTTTAATTTTTAATATTTTTATTCTACCATTGTTTTCGTCTAAAATTACAAATGAAAAATCATGTCACAATTTTCATTGGCAAACAATAATGAAATATTCTTTATTGTGTTTTTATTATTTTTTTAATTATTTTTTAATAGTGGGAGGAAGTTGTGGTAAAATAAAAACAACAATTTAAATAATTAAATAATATTATAAGTGCATTATAATTTATAAAATATTTTATAGAACTTCATAAGTTGAAAATATTTTCCAGTAAATAAACCAAGTTAGAAGATTGATTGTAAAATATATTTTATTAACTAGTTTTTTTATAAAATATTTTATGAGGAAACCCTTTTTAGAAAATATTTTTAAAAAACAAACATAAAAAAATTAAAAAATATTTTAGATAAAACACAGAAACCCTCATAAACAAATGAGTTTTCATTAAAAAAAAAAAGCTGGAAAGCCAGGCATGAGATTATCCAATATAGTGAAAACTACAAAAATAAAAAAGAGAGAGAGAGTGGCAAACCAAATCCAAAGAACATTATCCAATATTGTGCATGATATGGCCAAAATCACAAACAAATAAAGAATCCAAACTGGAGAATTTGTATAAACAAATATATACTTTACCGATAGCTCTCAAAATTAACGTTTCAGGTTTTACGGCATAAATATAGGGTTTTCAAATTATTTTGCACAGCGGGCATATATAGATCAGAATAAGCTGGTGTTTGGAAAAATATAAAACATAAATGGATAAAGTTGAAGATAAAATAAAGAATTAGAAAAGAAGGCCATGCAGGCTAAGCCATGGGCCCGAGATAAATAACAATACTCTAGCTGGGCTTATGATAACAGCCCACAGAGAATATGGCCGAGCACCCATAGAAAGGAAAGAACACTTGAACGACGTGTCTTCGCATTACCCATCCAAGATCATCTCTGCAACCTCACAAACTCTGCCTACCACGTTATAGAAAGGATTGTCCCATGACACTCTACACAACAAGTGCCCACATAGGAAAACAATTTGGAACACAAGATCAACACTAAAATAGTCGAGCATATTAGTGATGAGAACGTGAAAACGAAAATCATTTCTGAACGCTAAGAAGCTCTAGTTGCAAGGTTTTCCAATGAAAGCAGATGGTGATTCATAAAAGAAGAGGCCACAAAATAATTCTTTATGGAAATATTTAGTTGAGAAAAAGGAAATCGGATACCATCACATCCAAGTTGTATATGCAACATACAATGATGAGATGGAAGGAAAATTTTATGCATTATCTGACGTCTTCTTGTCCAAAATGAATGATGTGGACAAGAAGATATCAATGGCATTTTACTAGAATGAATAACTTGTTTTATTTTATAGTAGTAGTAACAATAATGATATTGTATTATCTAATGTTAACAGTAGATTATAATGTCTATTTTAAGCTAAAGATTTATTTTGTTTTGTTTTTAATATAATAAGTAAATATATATTTTTTTAGAAAATGATTAGGAAAACTCTACCAAAATCATACTTGCAAATTTCATAAAAGCAAATTCTAGAAATGTAAACAAAATCAATAGTGCTAAAAAAGATTCTCCAAATAAACAACAGGTATACAAGAAGCTCATCTCAGAGCCATGAATAATTAGAAAAGCCAATGCTCCCGGGCAAACAATAAAATACTTACCGTCTCTTCTCAAGAGCAAACAAGGAAAGAAAAACGATAGATGCTTGCAATCACATGGCATCGATATACATACAAAACTATCCAGTTTTCCTTTAGATACTATTGCAAGAACAGAGATAACTACACAAAATACAGGTAAGTGCAAACATGGCATGAAGAGTCAGTCACCAACGAGATTTTGAGGACCTACCATTCTTTACAAATTCATGCATCAAAAAGCTATGCTGTCCGAGAAAAGAGGATATAATGTTTATAATCCCAGAAGAAATTCAGCAAGTCTAACGTTTAAGAAATAAGGACAATTAGATATCTAAAATCACCATTCTTGCTTTCTTACACCATAAGAAGAAGAATGTTGCCTTAAACCAAAGTCATGGAATGGTCTGAAACTACTAAAATGAAAGCAATTAGATATGGTGAAAGGAGAATTCAATTGATAATCTTTAATAAAATGAAATTAACCGCAGAAAAGAGAATCCAATCCAACAAAATAAACTCATCCACATCCTACATCCGGGTGCCAGAACTTACTGGTTGGCTTTTAAACACAGACGAAAATGAAAAGTAAACAATTTCGAAAAGACTAGGTGTCTGAATTTCGAAAACATGTATCATGGATGAAAATTCTTGAACTACAATGAACCAAATAGATCTCCGCAAGAGTCCACGGATATATACAAGAGAAGCGGGCCACAGGTAATGGGAGTCCCATTACTGATACCAACAAAGTAAATCTACCTGATAGTGACAAACTTGTTGGTTCCATGTCTTGCCCAGTGAGCCCTTAAATCAATTGGGTTAGCAAAGTTATAACCTTCAGCCGCGAGCTTCTCCAGTACCTTCTTAAATGCACCCTGACTCATTTTCCTTCCAGCTATCCTTGCACCGCGTCTTTTGCTACTCATTGGCAAAGGATACATCGAGACATTTGTTGTGCAACATGCAGACTGCCATCCTCCACAGCCCCATCGATAACATTGCTGAGGAGTTCCGGTACATGAGCAGACCGGAATTGGGATACCTGAAATGTCCATATCAATCCCATTTATAACAACATCCACACTTTTCTTAGCTGGCTTCGCACGCTGAACTGTATTGTTGCTAACATCTTTTGGCTTTCTAGGTTTCTTAGATTTGGGAGTTTTGGGGGCGGTACCCCCAACTTGTCTTTTCTTCAACGAGCTACCTTCCTTACTTACACTAGGCTCCTCGATCCTACTCACCCTCTCATCCCTTGATGAATCGGGTGGCTGTAACATTGGCATGGACTGAGCTCCAGAAGTTTCAGGGTGAACAACATAACTAGGATTCGGGGGTAGCATATTTAAAAACTTCTCCCGGTTTATCCAACTATCCCTCATATAATTCATATGCATAGAGGCATCCGAAACCAAAGAATCACGCGGAAGGTAGGCTCCAGTGGCACCAACCATGATGTTATTCGGATCACGCCTGGGTAGGAGATGCTTCGAATCACGGTCTACCATGGCTGGCATTAGCTGGAGACCTAGTGGCTCCTTGTATGATGGTTCATAATAACCCCAATTGCGCATGTTCAATGCATCGTCGTCCATGGAAGCTGTACATTGTCAACAATACAGCAAAGGTGGGAAAAATCAGTTTTTCTGTTATATTTGTTAGCATACCCACTAATAACATTGCAATCCCGATATCAGCTTCTGATATGTTCCGGGACCCGTCACCAGCGGCATTGTCACCCTGATCATCGAGGCTATCAAAGAGTCCTCGAGTAATAAAGGCAATTACCTTTACCACTGATAAATACAAAACACAATGACGATGTTTTTCATTGATCATAATTCCCAAATCAACAGATCCAATGAATTCTCAGCAAGACAGAAGCATATGCAAAGAAATCAGCAGGAAATGCCATTCACAATGCCTGACATTTGCATCTAAACAAAAACGAAAAAAAAATATGAAATGACAAATAATTGTGTAAAAAAGTTTCATTTCCTCCAGATCTGAAAATGGGAAGGCTTTTAAGATTCCCCTAAACAAAAATGGGAAAAAATTAAAAAACAACAACAACAACAACAACAAAAGATGGAAAAGATTCCAGTTTTCAAATCACTTTTCAACATCTTCTGACGACGCAAACAAAAACCCATTTCCAGATCTACAATATTCATTCAAATATCAGAAAAATGGGAAAGCTTTCCTTTTAAAAAAAGCTTGACCTTGAACAGTAATAGATCTCTGCATTCAGGAAATAAATAACAAAGCAGAATAGATATTTGGGCACACAAGGCAGGTTTTCTCATAGCATATCATCAGGTCCCATATATTCAAAATTTTGAAAAGAGAGAGAGAAAAGAGACATGAGAGAGAAAACTTACTTGGGGGGTGTTAACGTCTCTTTAGGATTTTGCCCTTCTGGAGAGAGAAAGAGAGACAAAGGAGAGAGAAACCTGAAAGAGAGAGAGGAGAGAGGAGAGAGAAAACCCTAAAAATGAGAGAGAGGTAATGAGAGAGACGGATTTATAGTGTATTTTCTTTTTTAATTAAAAACAAATTAGAAAATCTAAGAGAAGATTTCAATGTTGTCTTTGCAGGGTATATGTTCTTATGTCACAACAAGCTCTCAATTCTTATCCTCTTTATCTTATATTCTTTCTGATTTGAGGGCCATCCAACTTTATCTTGTTCCTCTTTTTTGAATGGTTTTAATAAAGTGTAGAGGTGGGCTTTTTATTTATTTAATTCTTTTTTCTTTTAGTGACAAAAATGGCATTTTACGTTATTTTCGTGGTTTTGTGACTTTATCATAGCCTCCTATGCCACCATTGATTTCCCAAATAACACCAACATGACAAACTCCCTTTCCTTGAGGGTGTCGGGCAGGAAAGGAGCTTCCCCCTAGTTCGATCAAGGTTTTTTTTTTTGTTTTTTACGAAATTGATTAAGAGCACTTCACCTCTTTAAGAATGGAAATCGAAACTTGACTCCGAAATATATATTTTGCTTACAATTTCTATGTGCATTGCTTAGTGTGATGATTTGCAGGTTGGAAATTTAAGCAAAGCCGTAATCTTGACCACATCTATTAGCTGTAATGCCAATTAACTGTGATTAAGAAAGAAAATCGACAGCCTAAAAAATTCTTTAAAGGACATTAATAAAAAAAAAATTTATAAAAATATAAACACAAATATTATTAATATAATTTTTTAAAATTTTTTGCTATTAAATGATTTAATTATTGTTGCAGTTATTGTTATATGCATCCTTAAACAAGTTATTATCAGATTTCAATAATGTATGTTATTATGTTTTAAAAACAAGTTAGCTACATAATTAAGACTTCAGTTTTAAAATACTAAACATTGTATTGGAAAATTGTCAGGCATACAGTTACATGTTCAATCCCATTTATTTTTTCAAAGAATAATGAATTTAGAAATAGTAATTTGCTAAATTCAACATCATAGCAGAGCACGAAAGCTGTCGTATTTATAACTTAATAATAAAAAAATCCAATTTCACATTATTTATTGAAATAGAAAACAAGTACAACAACACAATTTGTTCAATAAAAACGAATTAAAGCGTACAATAACACAAAATAAAAATTAGAGGAATGACATTAAAAACCCGTACCTACCTAAGAGAGGGATCTTAGCCCAACAAATAAAAAGCCTGGGTCCTGGCCCTTTCAGACCAAATCCCTCAACAGATCTCAGCTGAGTTTGGTATGGGCTTATGATCCGTTATGGCTTCGGTTTTAATATTTTACCAATAATCTTTGAACAATAGATAACGCAATCTCAAATTCAAAATCTCTTTTAACTGTTTTTCAAGTTTCAATGAGATTATTGTGAAATAACTATTGAGAAGTGATTGACTCAACGTACCCTAATGAATTGAACGTTATCCGTATATAATCCCAAAGTTTAAGGTTTGGTTTATTAATTAATAGTTAATTAATTAGATGTTTATATGCTCAAAACTTCTCCTCTTCCCTCATTCTTCTGATCTTTTTTTTGTTAAAAACAAAAAAATAAACCTTTCAAGCAAGTTGTCATGGAATAAAGCTTTCAAATTGATAACATATATTGATGCAAACTAACCATAGGAGTAGTTGGCCAAGAAATGTTGCGTTTATGTCTGTCCATCCAAAGTTAAAATCAACATTTCCGAGCTGACCATAGAATTTTCCGGAATGTAAAGAAGTCTATTGGTTATTTAGTTGCATGATCAAAGCATGGTTTCATTTCTTTACTTCACAAAAGCATTTCATGGCATAGGTTGCCGCGATAGATTTGCATGGAGGTCAATTTTAAACAAATCACGCGTCAAGTGAGTTATTCCTAGCTCAATTTGATAAGCTGGTGTGCTCTTTTGTGTTCTCTTCAAGTTTATGTTTAGGCACTAAGTGTGTGAACGATTAAGCAAGTTATAAAGGTATAAGGCTGTGCTGCTTCACTTTCTCTCTTGAATTTTTACTCGATGCCTAGAGTTTCTTCTTTTCTTTCCTTGCTTTAGCAATCTTCATTCTCCTTGCTTTCATGATGTCTTATTTGGACCTAATTAGCAGCAAGAAAAGGAAGAGAGAAGAGAGAGTGTTCAGGTTCAAGATTTTTGGTGAAAATGGCTACCCAGTTGAGTTTGATGGGTCATTCAAACAAAATATCAAAAACCTTCTTGAACTTGGGCATTTTGAGAGAAATATTTGCAGTAGACTGCCAAGCTGGTCATTTAAGCTTGAAGTCATACGCCAACCTTCTTTTCACATCTTGTTGTTTGTTGTCGAGGAACCAATTGAGGCATCACTGGAACATCATTGCAAGCACTGCCAGTATGTTGGTGAAGTCTTGATTCCCTAGTTCAGTGCTTTAATTCTCTTTCGTTACCTACATTGAATAAATATTTTGGTTTCTGTCTTGAACAAGATAGATTGACTCCTTAGCATTCTAGAACTCGTGATAACATCCTATCTATAGTAGTTGGTATAGCATGCATGCAATATGTGCTTAATTTATTAGTCAAACGATTTCTTGCCTTGCATAATTAAGAAAAGAAAAACAGTTATAAAACCAAACACGGGCATGTGGTATAATGTTGCTGGTAACTAGTAAAAACTGATTATGGCACTTTGTACAAGTTTATATTGCAGAATCATGCACGACATTAATTAGCTCTGAATCAGCTTCAATTTGAGAACCTGATTTATAGATGTCTTTTCTAACATTCTTACATAGGAGGCATGATGTTGGTGCGGTACTGTAATCTTTGTACTAAGGACATTTGCTAGCTTAAATTCTTTATTGGATGATCCTTCTCCCAAGTTAATCTATGCTTTTTGTAAGCATGCATAATGCAGATTAAGAATATATATGTGTGTGTGTGTGTGTGTGTGTGTGTGTGTGTGTGTGTGTGTGTGTGTGTGTGTGTGTGTGTGTGTGTGTGTGTGTGTGTGTGTGTGTGTGTGTGTGTGTGTGTGTTAATTGGTGTGTTTTATTCTCTCACTAAGCTGGTTGTTCCTTTATAATATAGCTCAGGCTGGGGTCAGAATATGATTTGCAACAGGAAGTATCACTTTGTTCTACCTTCGAAGGACATGGAAGCAGCTTTTTTGAACTGTCGAGATGGGGCAATTTCAACAAAAGACAACTTCAATTTAGTGCAATTACAGGGCCATATCATGCATGGTATCTTCCACTCTAATGGGTTCGGGCATTTGCTGTGTGTCAATGGGATGGAAGGAGGTTCCAACTTGGCTGGATGCCAGATCATGGAATTTTGGGATCGGTTGTGCACGGGATTGCGAGCAAGGTTAGGCATCTATCTCGTAACTTTTTATTTAACTATTTGTCACTTGAGAGAATTCTGTAATCGTTTGTGAACTTTACTAATAAGAACTGGCTTAACATGCAGGAAAGTGAGCTTGAATGACATTTCACAGAAAAGAAGCATGGAATTGAGACTCCTCCACGGTGTAGCATTCAGTGAACCATGGTTCGGTCGTTGGGGTTATAAATTCGGGCGTGGAAGCTTCGGGGTCACTCAACCAATGCACCAGAAAGCCATTGAAACTATACAAGGCATGCCCTTATGCATACTTGTCCATTATCTTGGGAATTCTAATCATCATATTCCAGTCATTCTCTCTAGGTACCAAACGGTATCAGATCATTCTTTGGTGACTCTTGGTGACCTATTCCGCTTCATGTTAGAACTCAAGACCCACCTTCCAGAAGAAAATTGTGTCGATAGCCATATTGTGAAACCTACCTGTAGATGGTCTCCAAAACGAGTTGAAATGGCAACAAGGGTGATTGTGGAAGCTCTAAAAAGGGCTGAATTTAGGTGGGTTTCAAGACAAGATGTTAGGGACGCTGCCCGTGCCTATATTGGCGACACAGGTTTGCTAGATTTTGTGCTAAAATCACTCGGAAACCATGTAGTAGGGAATTATTTAGTTCGGCGCTGCTTGAATCCAGTAACAAAGGTTTTAGAGTATTGCTTGGAAGATGTCTCAAATGTATATCCTGAACAACAAGGTTTGGTCACCAACAATTCAAAAATGAAGGGTAGATACAGGATGACAAGGCCTCAACTAATGAAGGACATGCTCTACTTGTACAGATGTATCCTCAAAGACCAAAAACCAGCAATGAACCAAGGGATTCTTAGCGCAATACCAGCAGCTACAAGGATAATTCTTGACACCAAATACCTTGTCAAAGAATATAATGGCGAACTGCCATGGAAAATTCATCACACCGGCCATGAGGAAGCTGGGAAAATGACACTGTATTGCACTGTTTTTTTAATAGACAAACAAGAGAGCAATGAAGTAATGAAAAAGGAAATGCCACCATTGGAATGCATCACCTTGAAAAACAACGCTACCTTCAATGAGCTTAAGCTAGAAGTGGAAAGGAAGTTCAGGGAATTGTACTGGGGATTGAAAAGCTTCGTTGTAGAGTCAATAATGAACTTGAATGTGAAGGGCACGGATTTGGTTTCCGAACTAGTTGAGGTGGGTCAAAGAATTGTGTTAGAGGGGAGCAACGCAAAGAGCGGGACAATCAACGAGTTAATATATGAATGTGGCGCTAATAACCGAGTCGTAGATTGTGCCTGTGGAGCCAATGAAGATGATGGTGAGAGAATGATATCTTGTGATATCTGTGAAGTTTGGCAGCATAGTAGATGTGTTCAAATTCCAAATAATCAGGAAATGCCTCCTATATTTCTCTGCAGCCGCTGTGAGAAGGAAATCATGATTTTACCATCTATGCCATAGCAATTGTATATCCTTTTTCTTTCCTTTGAGATGTGACTTTAGAATTTAACCTGGCTCCTATCTATGTTGTTCGCGTTTTTATGGTGTCATCGAAGCAAGCACGCTTCCATTATGCAGTCAGTCAGTCTACACTCTTCTTTTCACTTCGTCTTCTATTTGTTTTTTCCCAATGTTATATAGTTTATGTTTTGCTGTCTAATCCAGGGATCAGCCTTGAAGAGTACAAGGACGTTCATGATGGAGGACCGGTGTTGATTGGGCTGCTATTGCCTTAAAATTGGACTTGTGTAGCTAGGGCCACGGAGACTAAACAGGCCTAAAAGCCCAAAATACAGTCCATCCAATGATTACCATGCATCTTCAGACTTCTAAGTAATCAACACAGGAAAAAAAAAAACAAAAACAAAAACAAAAACAAAAACCATATTGTCAGAAAATTTTCTTAGACTATTTTGGGGGGGGGGGTGGGGAAATCACCACGTCTTGGAGTCTTTTTTTAGAACAACCACCATCTCGGCTCACAGTAGGACTAGTAAATTATGGAATCTTTCATCAGGTACTGTTTTGGTACCGATCAATAATTCAAGAGAGATAAAATAGAAAGTGTATTTAGTATTTTAGTAGTTTTTATAATTATAATTTTAAAAAATTATTTTATAAAAGGTATTTTTATTTAAAGTTGATTTGATATTTACATGTATTGTGTTAAAACTATGTTTAAAATTAAGATTGAACTAAAAATAATTTAATGTATTTAATTAAAAATATTTTTAAAATTAAAGTTATAAAATAACTAAAAAATAGATATTAATATTGATGATTTTTAATTTAAATATTATAAATTTAACTATTATTATTACATCATAAAATAAATAATATTTTATATAAAATATTTTTTATTATTTTATTAAATTATTTGCAATTCTATCACGTATAAAATTCATTGAACAATGACTATAATTTTTATTGGTTTTTAAATATATAACAATATCAGGTAAAATATCATAAGAAATAAAATTAAAATTACAATTAAATTCTATAAATATTACATTATCATCTAATTTTTTTAATTTAATTATATAATATTATTAGATACTAATTTTTTAAATAAAATATAATTTTAAAAAAAATTATTTTAATAGGTTGGATTTTATCCAATATATTTAAATCTATATTGAATTTGGTTAAGCCATGAATAGCAAAGAAGCTCTCCACTGTTCAAGTGGAGATGGCAGAAGAAGAAGAAGCAACTTTAACTTGCTTTAGGTTACCCGGCATCTTTAAAGTAAATTATATTGGATGCCATCGACAATAAATTATATTTAGTAATGAATTAAGTAGTTTATTTAGTATGTTTTTTTAAAAAAAAACACAAACACTGCCTCAAATACATACGGCTCGGATTCTACTCGACCACAGCCTTGATTGTTGGATACGGTGGCGAAACTTTTTCGAGTGCTTCTTAATCTTGAGAAATTATACATCACACAAGTATACTGTAACAATGATTCAATTTAATTTTATTAGTAGTAGAGCTTCGTATGACTCAAGCACAGATTTCTAACATTCAACGTTGAAAGCTTGTTTGTCAATCGTGAGCTTTATAGCCCAACTCAGAAATATAGACTCGGTAGAGACTTAAAACCAGCTACCTCTCAAATTTCATATCTTCGTTTCGTCTCTGATTTGGATCACACGATCCCATGGCAACACGATGCATGTATAGAGATCCGGAGATAAAAGAAATTAAAACTATAGTTATTATAATTTATGCATTGGATCTGGGAAAACATAAATTGATATTTACCAAATAAAAACCCGAATTTCCTAAAAAAAATTCAGACATGAAGGAAGCAAGAGCCCCAGCCCATATCCGAAGCTCTATTATAAACCGTAAAGAATGATGGGAAGTTAATCCGAAGAAGCGCTGTTTATTATTGTGTTTTAAATAGGGTTGAGTAGAATTTAATTTTTTATTTAAAATTATTTTGTTTTGATATGTTGATATTAAAAATATTATTTTAATATATTTTTATAAAAATACTTTAAAAATGATAAAAATTATGAAACTATGAAGTTCAGTAGTTGTGAGTGACTTCTTGAAATTTTCTGGGTTTGCAACAACTAGTGAGCGGTGATGTCCGAACAAATCTATACCAAAGCACGGTTGTTTGTAATAATTGTTTACTGTAATTAAATTTAATTATGGTATTTAAATTAAATTAATATAATGAATAAGTTGAATTTAAATGATGTGACGTGCCAAAATTTGAAGAGGACTTGCTTTGTTGACTTTTAAGGATGGAACTCCCTTAAGGCACAAGCATTTGTCTTTATCTTCCCTTTCCTTTAATCTGCTTTTTATCCCTTGGTAACTTTTTTCCCCTACGAATTTTAATTATTCATATAACAGAGCACGTTGGCTTTTCAGGCCCTGACAGTACCTACCAGAGAAAATTGCAGTCTCTTTCTCTCTCGGACAAAAAAACATAACATAAAAAATAATTAAGAGCACAAAAGAATCTCTAGAAAACAAAATGAAAGTTCCATGAAAGTGAGAATACAAACAAAGTGAAACAAACAAACAAAATCTTCTCTCTGATGCCTCGAAAGTAAGTAAAAGGAGCGTGTGATGGGCATATATGCCATGGGATCCTGGATTGCATCAAGATCCCTTATCCCAGCTTTGGTTCCCTTCTCAGGATATTAACAATCCTAAACAAGACAAATGCCTCAGGTTTCAGTGCAGTAACCGCGGGCTACTACTTGCCATCAGGAAGTGACTGCGTGGCACTCATTATCTGCTCTCTTCTTCCCAGTTCTCTGCTCTCCCTGGATGATGCATCGACTGCATGTTCAAATTCAAGTAAGCAGTAAAGAACGTACCTGAAAAATGCCTACAATGCTTTGCTTACGAGTTTCAAAGAGTGAAGTTTAACTGTTGGGAAGGAAATCAAGCCAGTTGGAGTCTTGCTAAAAGTCAACAGATTGTTTAAAATATGATTTATAGGCTTAAGCTATGTATGCTTTAATTTAATTTGGTTGATTAAACTAAGAGAAAAATCATTGCATTAATTTGGGAATCCTGGACAATTGGGAAGGATGATTGCCACCCACTTGCTTTTTTGAATGCAGCATGTGTTCACAGTCCGATTCCATCATCTTCTTGTTCTTTCCAGCCCGACAAACAAATACAAGCATCTTCTCTCCTTTCTGTCATGACTGTTGAATACAATTATCTCCGCTCAGCTGTCATTCCCAATTTGCATTTTATAAAGTAAGAGCATTTTTTAGGGTAACAAATTTTCAAGTTATTAAAGGTTTTGTTGAACTGATTTTTTTTTTCTTTTACTCGATGATACTGAATATTCTTTGATAAGCTTTCACGTGAATTCTTGTGCTTAAACAGCAATGAAAATTATATTTTATATATTATTTTACTGATGCAACCAAGTTCTGAAAAAAAAAAGAAAAAAAAAAACAATCCATGCTGGATTTTAAAACTATGAAAACTAAGATTTATTTGCCCTTCTATATATTTTTTTTCTTATATAATGAGATGAGTTTCAAACCTTTTATTCCTTTTTTTTGTCAAAATTAATATAATTAATTATGAATATGACTTGATATTATATCATATAAAAAATAATAATCTACGTATGGTCACAGAAGAAAGAGAAGTAGAGGGGTCTAGCCCTCTGTATTAAATTATGTGTAAGACTGATATAATTAATTTCAATAAATAAATTTCACAGAATAATAAAAGTAAAAACCCAGACATTTTATAAAAACAAAATTAACTTAATTAATTATAGATATGAAAATATATGAACAAACCATCGGTGTATTTAAAACAAAGGCCATTTCTCCAAGCAAAAAATCGTGTACTTTTAATTTGTATTCAATTCACACAGGAAGTTTTGCATGTTCTGACTTGACAAGGCCGACGAGCCTAAGTTATCAAATAGAGTTATTGAGTCGTCGGCCGATGGCCCAGTATGCGCCATAAATCCCGAAAGGAGCTTAGTTTTCTTTTGCAGAGAAGCTGGTAATATGGTTTATCCATGTAAAGGAAACTGCTCGGCCATTTATTTGATATTTGCTAAAAATATTCCATTTCTCGCGCTTCATGTTCTAAATCTTCATCAAGGGACCTGATAATCTTTCATATTGTATCCTCGTGTCTAAAGTCTTTAATTATGCTTGCTATCAAAGTCTGTGATACACGTATATGCTGCAACTTTAAAGGACTTTACAGGGGAGAGTTTGGTAGTGTTATAGTAATTGTTTTTTAAAATATATATTAAAAAATTATTTTAAATATTAATACAATCAAACAACCTGAAAATAAAAACTGATTTAAAATTTAAAATATTTTTGATAAGTAAAAATAAACGGGTAAATTCCCCTTATTTTTGTGGATCAGTAACGGGAGATGTGGAACTCATCTTAACTCGGTGTCGTGTCAAATCAGTTTCCCGTCTACTTAGAATTTATCTGATGCACGTCCAAAAAAACGTGAGACCTAGTTCCTCAGCAAAAAAAAAAAAAAAAAAAGTCAAGAAGTCTAAGAAAAAATGAGTAACAATTTTATGCATTTTCTTTCGCTTGGGGACAGAACAAGGCCCTGTATTGGGGTCAACTGAATCATCCTAACGCAGTACATGTATCTGTCAAGGAACTCTACTTTTATTCTCTTGTTGAAAAAAAAATAAAAACAGGACAAGTTTCATTCATGTCGAAACAGGAACCGATTGCAACAGCACCGCTCATTAATTTTGTTTTTATTTTTTCATGTTTTAAAAATATTCTTTAAAAAATTAAAAAAAAATATTTTTTATTTTAAATTAATATTTTTTTATATTTTAATATTATTTTAATACACTGATGTTAAAAATAATTTTTTAGAATTAATAAAAAATATTATTTTAATAATTTTAAAAAATAATTATAATTACAATAGAAAAAAATCTTGTGCATGTGCTCGCAGTCCATGTTTT